TTTTATTACTTTTGTCTCTGATTGGTCGAATCGTCATAAAGAATAGACAATAACTATCCGATCGATTGAGATCATTATCACAAGTGCGTTTTTTTCTATACGACTAGTCTTATTTTTGATATATTTTTTCGAAATGAATTATTGTGCTATTGATAGTAAAGTCGAAATTGTTACATATGATAACAGTCGATGTCGATATGTTGGAACTGTTTCTGGTACGTTGATTTTTTTATAAAAAAAAAAAACATTTTCTTCATTAAGGTATAGACGTCAAAAACAATTTATTATTTCTTTCAAATGTGAAGTGTTTCGGTGAAGAAAACGTTGGAGATAAGTCATCCATTAGTAAAGATACTAATACAATTATGCCTATCTTGGTTTTTGCAACTAGTAATATTAAAGAATTAAAAACTGTTCACGAAGATCAAGATCAACCAGTAGCATCTTCACGTGACATATTTGCTCCATCATCGTTATCATCATTAGAACAAAAGCAATCATTGATTTTTGATCGTCCATCTACTGCCTCAGCAGTGATTGGTACATCGGATAAAGCTTCATCAATATCTAGTGAAATTTTACATATAACCCATCAACAATCGGACACATATATAAATCAAGGTAAATTATCACGAGATTAACATGGGATACTGTAGAAATAAAGTATCTAGAATCTAGATTGACTCTACAGAAAAAAATTGAAATCAAAATGTGTCATCGAAAAACTTTTTAAATGTCAGCCGCCTAGTGAATTAGAAATAACATTGCACACATAGAGGTAGTAGAAGATTCATGCATCAGAGCTTCTCTGGACAAGTTTTGCGGCCTTTGCTATAATCGATTCGTTGTTTGTCAGAATTAGGAGTGGTATTTTAACTTTACTTTAAAAGTTAAAGTGGCACTTTAAATTTTAAACTTAAAGTTAAGGTAAAACACTTTAAACTTTAATACTTTTTTAAAGTTAAAGTGCCACCTCCTAGTCAGAATTGTTGGTGCCAGTTGATATTAAAACTTTTTACAACGAGTCTTCTCTCCTTCTAATATTTATATTGCATTTGATTTTATTTTTTATTGTTAGGGAAAAATACAGGTCTACCCCAGGTCAAAGAAAACGGCGTCGTAAACGACCGTAAACGGTATAAAACGGCGAAAAACAGCGCTGTCACGGGCCGTAATCCGTCAGCCCGTTTTACGGCTCACTGTTTAGTGCAGTAAACGATCATCGTTTTTCACCGTATTTTAGCCATAAAATTGGATGACAAAAATAATGCGAGAAACAATATTGTATAATATTGCACGACATTGTATGAAGACCGTTTTTCGGCATATCGTTTTACGGCTAAAATACGGCGAAAAACGATGGCTGTTTCTTGTAAAAACGATGAACGCTTACTGCAGTAAACGGTGGATCGTAAAACGGGCTGACGGATTACGGCCCGTAATAGCGCCGTTTTATACCGTTTACGACGCCGTTACGAACATCCGGAATGATCGACCTGGGACGTGTTGGTGAAATATACAAGGTCAGAAAAAGCGTGACCAAAATATTTGAAGAACTATGCAAATACAAATTAACGTCATGTGAGTCAAGCATATCATCAAAGTCATCAGCTTCAAGTTCGAATAAAAAAGAGAATAGAAAACTTAAAAGTAGACCCTGTATAATTTGGAGAACATCACCAAATATTGAAATCATGGTAACAGCAACATTTGGCAAGACTAATGTAAATGATCCAAGTGTTAAATTATTTCAACCATTATCAAAAAATTTTATTCTCAATCGTCTTTTGTCAATTGCGCCAAAAGAAGCTGTTTTAGGAAGAAAATCAATTACAACATTATCAAAAACGAATGGTCCAAGTACTCTTACAAATACATACGTGATATTAAAATCCCTCATTATTCAACCTGAAGAATTGAGAGATGTAGTACCTGCATATGTTTCAAGTCAAGATTTACTCTATATTAACTCAGTTCTGTATGAAGCAGAAATGAGAGAATTAACAGAAAGCAAGGCAGAGAAATCCGAAATTAATTTTCTACCCTTAATGAAGATACATAATAATAATGGTAATAATTCTGATGATGGTAATGATGATGGTAGTAGTAATTTATCTAAATGTTCTTCAATACAAATTCGAAGAAGCATTTTGCCAGAAGAAGATGTTTTTTGGAAGTACAACAGAATTCAAAGTTGGATTGATGACTGTAAGTTCAAACGATACTTAATCAAAACCTAATATATCTTTATATTTGTGCATAGTTGACGGCTATGTTGATGTGATCGAAAAGGAACCGTCATAACCTGTATTATCAAATATTGATATATTTGAAATAAATGAAAATTTAAAAACAGAAGTAAATATGAAAATCTTAATTTTTAATTTAATATATCTTCGTTTTATTTAAGATTAATTCTATTCAAGGTGATAATGATGATGAACAAATGATATTCTTGTTTAACGAAACTGGTCAACAATTATCAACAAATAATTTAAATGGTTTTAATGTAAATATAATTTTATTTACTTTCTTTGATCTCTTTATTTTATTTGAAGATTTTTCAAAATATTTTATCGAATCCAGTGAATTTAACACAAGATGAATTCATTTCATTAATGACTCCACGTGGAAGTCAATTAACAGAAGAATTTCAATCTGTCGAACGACAAAATTTGGAAAAAAAACAAGAACTTATTTTTAAAGCAAGCAAAATATCAAAAAATGATGTTTTACATGTATTTAAATTTATTTTTAGGTTGGAGATGTTATTAAAACTATTAATATAAATGATACATGCAAACGGGTTATCAATTTAGGTCCATCATTAAATGAAAATTGGCCAATACAAATGCTTTGGGAAAGTTATATACATAATGGTTATCATCATATTATTATTAGTTCTATTGTGAAAGTTCATAACAATACAACAATACCATTATATATATTAAATATGAACTCTACTGATACAAAGCAACTTAATATAATTTCCAAAATTGATGTCAATGACGAATGTTATGTACCAATTGCTGTACTTTATCAACATCCAAGTTTATGCATATTTATTGGTATTCATATGTAAGGATATTTGAATTTTTTATAAACGAATTCATTTACATTTTGTATGTTGTAGAGAAGAAAATCATGCAAAAATAAACAATTTCTTTTCCTTCGAATGGGATAAAGACTTTCCAATGAAAAAAAAAGTTATATTACAAAACGGAAAAGAAAAATATTTTATTGTAAGATTAGTAAGATTTATTTTAAATTGAGTTGAAAAGCTGTTTCTATTTAGATTCATAAAGAACAACATGAAGTCTATTCGGAAGATACTGATCTTAGTGGAACAGCTTTTACATTTTTTATTCATTCAGCTGGTTATGTAAATGATTATTCATGTGCTTGATATTTAGTATTTATTGTAAAACTATTGCAAATGACGTGGAGATAATTTCAGTCTGATAAACTTGAGATTTCTTTTTATGATATTGTATTTTTTATTATATTATTATCAATAAAACGTATGACATAAACACTTAGAAAGGGATTACAGAGTTTTCTGCTGTATGCTTTACTGCCACTGTATACTGTTGTTTATATTGCAATTGAAGTTCGTGTAGTTTAGTTTGAGACAATATCGATTGATATTATTTATCTTGTCATATATGATGAGATGTTACCGTTATTGATTTGTCGAATATATTCCTAGAGAAGCATAATTTGACTCTCTTATTGATCGATTTATTTCACAAACAATATATAGATTTAGATTTCATGATATACTTAAGAAATTGTATATCTATAGATTTAAGAAGATAACTTGGCTAATTTCTCTCAGAAAACAAAACTTGAAATATTTGAAATAAAATTTATTTGTGAAACTTGGTTATATGAATAAGAATAACTATAAAATATTGAAAAGAGAGAAAGAGAGATAATCTCTTTCTTAAAATATAAATTGATTAATAAGAGAAAAATTTTTTTCTAAAAATCAGCTGTTTGAGAAAGAGAAATCTAACTTTCAACTAACATAAAACACATAATCAAATTATTGATCTCATAGAAAACTCATTTGAAAATATTTGATGAAGATTATTCATTATGATAGACAAAAGTCAAACACGATCGATATATGTTTCTGTATCGATATGAAATATTTTAAAGATAAATAATAATAAAATCCATTGAGTTATAATCAATCGGTTTGTAACTTGTTAAATATAGTTTATTTCGTTTTTCTTTCTGATAAATATAATAAAAATAAGAGAAAAATTTATTGATAAAACCAATCATTCATACATGAATGATGAGAATTTATTGTCACATTTTTGACTGATATCTTGAGAAATCAATGGATATACAGTACTGGCTAAAATTATAAGAACAGACATGTTTGTAATGTTTTTATCTTTTCATTGATAACTTGACTCGATCTGTCAGTCTATCCATATGGATTCAGATATGCTCTATCTGAATATGAACTCAGAAATTGGGCAAGGTTACCCATTTTCATTAAAAAGAGATTTGTCTAAAATTGATGCTTTTTTTGCTATCCAAACTTATAGTGGATAACTTACTTTTGACTATCCCCAATGTACCCATTGGAGCTAAAATTTTCTTTATAATATACCATTCGATAGAGAAAATTGTGCTCTACAAAATGAGCTACTTTTTGTTCTAGCTTCTATTTAAGAAATGGTCGAAACCCTACGATTACAAGGACCAACAGAAGATTTTGGAAAACTACGTTTTCCTCCCCCATGTTACAGTCGATCCCAATTTCGAGACCACCAATAGAAAGAGCATTAAAAACTACACCAGAAATGCTCTTTAGATGGTTACTGTCCTGCAGAACAGTAAGCAAGCTAATAGTCATTTACTCATGATCCATGGGGGTACCTATAATATTCTTCGAGCAGTACATAGAATATGGTATTGATTCTTTTTGTAAACATTATAATCTTGCAGAGAATTCTTTTTTCTAAAAGATCAATGTAAAAGACGGCAAAATCAACTGGGTTCGAATGAGTGAAACAACTTTCTTTAATCTTCATGCTAGTGGTCAAAAATCACCTATACCATACACTACAAGTTAGATTTAGATGTAGTCACGTGAGGAGACGAATTTCTTTCGATCTTGAGGGTGTGAGTGTGGATGAGTGTTGGCGAGCGTGGGTGTGGGTACGGTGGGCGCGGCTGTGCGAGTGGGTGTGGGTAC